TTAAAGACCCTGTCCCCAAATACAGTCACATTCTGAGCTATAGAGGGGTAGGGCTTCAACACATGAATTTGGTGTCGGGAGATACAATACAGCCTGTAACAGATGGCAAGATTTGGAACTTTGAACTGATTGATGCTGTAATGGGATGAGACTTCCGGGGGCTTTTGGAGAAGTGAATATATTTTGTACAGGGAGGAGTATAAATAATTTGTGACCAGAGGGCAGATTATGGTGATTTAAAAATATATCCACAAATTCTCGATATTCTTCCCCTGAAAAAGTGAAGCTGAATTCCCCTCTCCTTGACAGTGGGATGGACTTAGTGACTTGCTTTCAACACGTAGGATGTGGTGGAAGTGGCAGTATATTTCTTCCAGGACAAGGTCATAAAGGGCATTGGGGCTTCCTCCTCATTGCTGTCATTTAGATAGCTCACTCTGGGGGAAGTTAGCTCTGAATACTCAAGCAGCCCATAAAGGCCCATGTGGCAAAGAACTGGGCTTTCTGCCGACAGCCATGAGTGACTCATAGTGGAAATAGAGCCTCCAGCTCCAGTCAAGCCTTCAGATGACTGCAGTCCCAGCTAACATCCTGACTGTAACCTCATGAGAGAACCTGAGCAAGAACCATTTACAGCCAGCAATCCCACTACTGGGTGTATCTCCAAAGGAAATGGAATCAAGATATCACAGAGATGTCTGCACGCCCATGTTTGTTGCAGCATTATTCACAGTAGCCAAGATATGGAATCAAACTAGTGTCCATCAGTGGATGGATGGAGATCTAGTGTATAACATGGTTACATAGTTAATAACGTAGTTCATAACAATATATTGTATATCGAAAAACACTGAGAGAGCAGATTTTTAATGTTCTCACCACAAAAAATTACAAGTACGTGAGGTGATGCATATGTTAATGAGCTCAATTGAACCATTCCACAATGTATACATATTTCAAAGCATCATGTTGTACATGATAAATATATAAAATTTTTATTTATCAATTAAAAAAAATAGCTTCTTTAAAAAAGAACCATTCAGCTAAGCTGTTTCCAGATTCCTGATCCTCAGATACTCTGTGAAATGATAAGTATTTTTTAGCTTAGGCCACAAGTTTGGGGGAATTTGTTATGCAGCAATGAATAACTAATGCACTAGGTCATTATCAAAAGGGGAAAATTATATAGAGACTGGGAGTGGCCCACTTTATTTATGTTACCTGCCTAGCCTCTATAGGCATTTGAGTTTGTGACCCCTACAAAATCACGAAGTCACATTCTCCAATTAGATTATATATCTCTCTAAGGCAAAAATCATGACATTCCTTTATTTGCTATCCCTTTCCCGAGGACGACTAATTCAATAAGTCCTCCAATGAATCCTTGTTAGCTACCAGAGGGAGGAGTACAAGAGGGATACAGAGTAGAGGTTTGTGGAATGTCTGTTCTGCCTAATTTCCAAGCACACATATTAGGCTCTTTGCTCGGAATATATTTGCTTACAACTAGGTTAGGAAGGAATTCCACAACTGCCAATTGTTATGGTAAGACTAAGAATCTTAAAAGGGACTCAAATAAAATAGAAAACAGTCATATACATTAGGTTGAACCATGTGAAATTGCCAACATTCACCTGCTAAAACTGCAGTATTAGGGCCGGCCTGTGGCTCACTCGGGAGAGTGTGGTGCTGATAACACCAAGGCCATGGGTTTGGATCCCTATATAGGGATGGCCGGTTAGCTCTCATGGGAGAGTGTGGTGCTGACAACACAAAGTCAAGGGTTAAGATCCCCTTACCAGTCATCTTTAAAAAAATAAAAAATAAAAAAAATAAAACTGCAGTATTATATAGTTCAACCTAATCTATGTATTTTTAACATGTCTAATCCAGTCATGTTTGTCCCTGCACTCCTGTAGCTGGCTGGCATGGTTCCATTGGAAGGGATGTAGGTGACAAAGACCAGCCATGGATGCTCTCCTGAGAGACTGACCTCTCTGGGCAAGATGTCCGAATCCCAATGGGCATTGCCAGCACTGCCGCTGCATATCTTCGTGAAACTGGGTTAATAATCCAAATGTGCACCTTGTCTTGGACCTAACCCTAGTGCTTTCCTTTCTTGTCATGTTTTATTCCTGGTGTTACAGGGTGGAGGGTGTGGGAGGCTTGGGTGGAGAGCTATAGCAGCCAGGGTGGAGGGGGATGTTGGGTGTGGTGGTGGTAGGATCCAGGACACCGGGCTCTGTGAATTCTCAGATATCTGAGCTGGGCACAGAGGGTGGGATTGCTGCCCAGACCACACACTTGGGCTGACCACTCATTCAGTACAACTATACTCCCTATGGTGCCCTCGTTTAACCTGCCTCTTACACTGGCGCCATTTGGCTTTTGAATCCTTCCTTCATTGTGAATCAGCCAAGGTCATAAGTGTTCTCTCTCTCCTAAACTCCCACTACCCACTAACTAGCAAATGTTGGGCTGGGGCAACAGAGTATAAAGAGGGATGAGCTCTCAGGAGGTGTTTGCCTGTGTCCTAGTGTGCTGTGGCAGAGGTTGGGCAGGTTTAGGGACCAACAAGTGCCAAAAGGCAGGAAGAACCGGACAACAAACTTGCTCTTCCTCCCTTCCTCTCCCTCCCTCCAGCTTTGCCTCAACAACAGCCAGACATGATCAAGAAGAGACAGACAATTTATTCCACATCCACTTAGCTGTGGGCAAGGCAGGGACGAGGAAAAGGTGCGCAAAGCTGGCCCCAAGTGCTCCCTTCGCCATCCCTTGCAATGACGAGGGCCAACCTGTTCAAGGCCGGGGGAAAGGATGAGGAGAGGGATTCAGATGAGAGGACAGGACTTGGTTCCAGGAGTTCAGAAACATTTACAGGGCTGTGTCATTTCTTTCCTCAGGATCCAGGACTTTCTCCTTTGGTAGCAGTGTCTGAGACAGTCTGCCCATTTAAAGAGTCTGATTCTGAGCTGGATGTAGTGCTGCAGGACATGGTGCCAGAGGGACGGCTCAGAATCACACTCCAGAAACTTTTATGGTTGACGTAGCAAAGGGTCGCTGGGAAAGGACAGGGGATAGGGAAGAAGAAAGTCAGGAGTGGGAGAGTGACAAGCAGAGGGAGGCCCCTGGGGAAGATGCGTCCCCAGGACACTATCCCTGGGGATGGCCAGCCCCTTCCCTCCACCCTTTCTGTTCCCTGAACCACCCATGTCCCCTCCTTCCTGCAGGGCCCTCCTAGCCACTCACCACAGGTGACATACAGGATAAACACCAGCCAGCCAATGATGTAGCTCTGGCCGATGGGTATTGACACATTGCTCTCCACCTCGAAGATCCAGAGGTTAATAGGGAACAACACGAGGGTGAAGAAAACGAAGATGACTGGGAGACAGGAGGAGGAGGGGCCTTATTCGCATCCAAGAATCCCACAGGACCCTTCCTCATCAGCTGAGCCACAGCCACAAACCACAGCTCCCATCACCACACAGCGAGCACCCAGCCGCTTCACTTCCACCACTCCAGTGCCTGGGAAATGGTGTAACACCCACAGAACCCCCCACACACCCAGAGCAGAGGGAGAAATATCCAGGAAGATGTGGGCTAGGAGAACTAAGGACCTTTTCCAGAGCTAGGGGGCACCTTCACAGGAGCTCAGGATGATCCCAATGAAGCCAAAGGAGGGTATCCTCTGAAGACCGGGTAGGTACGGCAGGTGTAACCAGGTTGTGAGGACAAAGCCCAGCCCCAGGGCCAGGACGAAGCATATCTTGGCCACCCCAAAGGCCGGGTGATTTGTCCACAGCTTAAAACTGCCTGGGGAAAATGACAAAACAGGATGAACTAAGGATTCACAAAAGATGAAATATAATCAAACATGAGAAAATGTTCAGGCCCATTAATAACCAAAGAAGGCACATTTGAGATGACAATGAAATGTCACTTTCACTTATTAAATTAGCCAAGATTCTTCTCTTTTTTGTTGGCAGCAGACCAGTCTGGGGATCCAGACCCTTGATTTGGTATTGTAACACAACGCTCCAGCCAACTGAGCTAACTGGCCAGCCCTAAATTAACCAAGATTCTTGATATGGAGTTTGTTTGATAATCCCAACCATATGAAAACAAGTAGCTCAATAGAAAAAAAGGACAGAAGACTTGAATCGCAATTCTCAAAAGAGGAAATACAAACATTCAATAAACACATGATGCTCCAATTTAGATTTTAAAAGTCAAAATTGAAATGAATGCACATAGGTTTGTATATAATATAAATTAGCACCTTTGCTACAGAACAGTCACTTTATTTTTACTATTTGATTTTTGTTGTTTTTGAGGGTTTGTTGAGGGGCAGGAATTATTGTAACAATGTACATAGGTATATCCAAAGGGAAAAGTCTGGAAGGATATAGATAAGACCTTTGCTTATCTGTATCTTCCCATTTTCCTACATTGAAAATGTGTTGTTTGTATAATTTAAAAATTAAAAGTAACCATGTTTTGAGATATATATGTATATATGTAAAAGAAATGGAAAGGCAGCACAAACCTTTCATTACACTCTTATTTTACAGGCAGAATTTTACTCAGGCAGGGCAAATTTTTGAATGAATAAATTTCCCCAAGTGTCAAAAAAAATAAAATAAATAAATAAATAAATACATGATGCTCAACATAAAAAAGTTGCAAATTAAATATGATTTTTTTTCAACTATCAAATTAGCAAAGATTAAAATAAAATTGATGACATCTAGTATGGGAGAGTATTTAGAGAAAAGAGGTGCTCTCGTAACTGCTATTGGGCAGCATTTCTAGTGAATGGTCTGGCACAAAATACCAAAAAATATCTGAATTCTTGAGGCCCTTTGACCCAGCAATACTGCTTCTTGGAATTTATGTTAAGGGAATAATCAAAGATCTGCACCAACATCTAAGTACAGGGACTTTCTTTGTAGAGATATTGATATGTCCAACAAGCTATTCAATTTTCAAGAGATTTGTAAAATAAATGATAATACACCCATACTTTTATTCATGTGTGTTCATTAAAAACAGTGATAGGACAGATACTTGTCTCTGAACAGAATGTCTCTAGAAATGAGAAATAGAATGGGAAACTGGGGAGGAAGACTGGAAGCTGGAAGTAGGAGGCTCACTTTATAATCTTTTGTATATTTTGAATTTTCATCCTGTTGTGTATTACCTAATCAAAAAATTTTTTTAATTTTGTGATGTTATAGAATAATTATTCAGTGATGTGAGTAAATGCTTAAAAATAAAAATTGGAATTTGCAAAACAGAACATGTAGAATCACTGTAATTTTGAAAATGTATATATATGATATATATGGTATATAAAGGGCTGGAAGTAAATCCATTACATTGTCCACTATGACTATATCTGTGTGAAAAAACTTAGGGTGATTTTCTTTCTCAAACTTTTCTGCATTTCCCACAGTAACTGTTCCACTTTTTAAATCAGAAATATATATATATATATATATTTTATATATTTAAAATTAATAGTCATTGCTGGCAAAGGTACGATAAAACAAGACTTTTCATACATTATTAGTAGGAACATAAATTGCTGTAATACTTTTTTTTTTTTTTTTTTGGCAGCTGGCTGGTGAGGGGAACCAGACCCTTGACCTTGGTGTTACAAGGCAGTGCTCTAACCAACCAAGCTAATCAGCCAGCCTTGCTATATAATACTTTTTGAAAGTAATATGGAAAATTTTATTAAGAGCCTTAAAATATTTATGCTCTTTGATCCAGAAAACCCACCTTGGGAAATCTATCCCAAAGAATTAATACTAAATACAGAAAAAATGTCATGATTAACAAACTCTTTGCTTTTTTTTTTTTTCAAATATGAAATTGGGCATAAATTTTCCAAGAATTAAAAATAAAGTAGTCAAGTAAAAGATGACAAATCTACTAAGATGAATATTATAGTCACTTATAATAAGGAAAGCTTATCATATATTATAAAAGTAAAATTTAAGATACTATAATAATAAAAAATTAAATAATATAAAATTGTTTATTAAGAATAAGTACAGGGGCCGGCCTGGTGGCGCACTGGATAGTGCACCGCTTGGGAAGCGGGGCGGCGCTCCTGCCCGAGGGTTCGGATCCCACATACAGACCGGTTCCCGCTCACTGGCTGAGCGAGGCGTGGGAGCAACACCAAGGGTTGCAATCCCGCGGTCCGGCACGGGGGCAACACTGAGGGTTGCGATCCGTTGCCGGACACGGAAAAAGACAAAAGACGAAAAAAAAAAAAAGAATAAGTACAGCTATGTAAAAACCATTCAAAACTTGTTCAAGTAAGAAAAAGTCATATTATAACACCAAGCGAAGCATTCAGATCCCCATCCTAGCCAACTGCCAAAAAAAAAAAATACATCTTAAAAACTTACTAAATTTCTGAGCAAGGTGCTTACATAAGTATTAGAGCCAGACACACCTGGGTTATAATTCTATACCTGCCATTATGAGGTTGATCCATATGAAATTACTTTTATAGGTGAAAAGCAGTCAGATATTGGCATTTCACGTGGTTCAACCTAATAGCTTTAAGACCCTAAACAAGGTACTTAATCTCTCTGAGTCCCAGTTTTCTCATCTGTAAAATAAGGATAATTATTTCTCTCTCTTAGTGCTGACTGAGGATTAAATTGAACAAATACATAAGTGTGCAATAAATTATAGCTTTTGTTTCCCCAAATTTGTTGTAATAAGGATGTATTACTTTCATAGTGGAAGAAAATAATAGCTGTGGAACTTTTTTTTTTAATGTTAAGGAGAGTGAAGAAATGAAAGTGGGGGTCAGAATCTCTGGTTTTCCCCACGAGCTGGGAAAGGAGGTCCTGCTCCTGAGAGGCGAGGAGACAGCATGACATGAGACTAACGAGAATAAGGAATGAAGCAACTGCAGGAAGTCGGGGGAAGGGAGGAACGAGGAAACCAGATGCGGGCAAAGGAAAAGTTCTTGGGGAGCAGAGCTGGCCCAGAAAAGCAAGGCCTGAGGCAGAAGAGAAAGAAAGTGGCTGGGACCAGGGCCTGGGAGAGAAAATCCCAAGGACTCCTCCCTAAGCTCTGGGTATGCAAGCCTGGAGGAAGGAAACCCCCACCTTAAGGGGCTCTTCTCCCAGGTGAATTATGTGATTCATGAGTGATTCCCTTGTGCTAAGACTCCCTGCCCCTCACAACATTTTTATAAGCACAGACTCGGCTCTAGGTCTTATCGAAAGCAGTGACATTTTCCATCGAGTCAGATTTGGCCAGACTGGAGGAGGAAAAATGATCCTTGGAGGTCTCAGTACCAGGGGGGCCTTCTTGCAGGCCAACAAGGCAAGATGACCAGAGGGAGGGGACAAGAATATGCAGGGTGCAGATGTAGAGGCCAAGCAGGCTGGAGGCCTGGGTGGGATGGAAGGTGGAGGGACTCACCTTTCCCACTGTCTGAGCAGCTGCTGGAATAGCAGATGTACAGGAGCCCCATGGACATGATGTGGGCTGACGTGTAGATGCTGTTGCTGACATTCTTGGGCCAGCGCTGATAGAAGCGGCTCCCAGAGAGGTACAGCCATTTCTTGGAGAAGACCATGACCAGCATTAGGATGAAGGCGATCAGGCTGAGCTCTGAAGCCAACACTTGCTCTATCCACCGGGAGCTGTGTGTGACTCTCCATTGGAAGGGCAACACAGAGTGCCGGTGATGATCCGTGGGCACCCGCCTGTTACTGCTGGGGGGATGGACGAATGTCTGCACCCCGCTTCCTGTCCCAGGCTCACCTCTAGCGCCCCCTGCCTTCCAGCCTTCCTCTTCCTTTCCAGGCCACTGATACTGATGTTGGTCCGTGTCTCCTCCTGACCCAGGAAACTCACCCATGGACTCCTCTGCCCCCATCGTGAGTACTCTTCATACCCTCCACCCCATCTCTCCCTTCCCTTGCCAGGCTCAGTTGAACCTCATCTTTTAAATATTTTCATCAGGTGGAGCAGCTGCCACCTTAGGGCCTGGGAAAGAAGGTGGGAGAGCCTCTTATTAGGTTCTTGAGCTCCCAATCCAAGAGTCACCAACCCATTCAGCAGGACAGGGCCCCTAACTGCCGTGGAATATTCCGGGGGAGCAGTGAGATGGGGGAGGGGCCCACAGCTTCAGCTTCATCTCTTTCTCGAAATCCTGCTCTTTGGGCCCCAGCTCAGAACTGGGGATCTGTGCCTCTCTCCAGCTTCTGCCTCCCTTTGCCTAAAAGCAATGGTCTCTGAGAGTCCCCTTTTCCCTTGCTATTTCCTCTGCCCTAACCTCAAGCCCAAATCCTCACTGATGGAGCAGGGGCAGGGAGAAGCAGCTTGTCCCAGGAAGACACGCACCTCTGTTGTTCTCTGGAAATGTCTTCCAAAGGTGTCATCAACCTTCCCACTACTTCCCCCAACCCCTTTACTTCTCTCCCACCTCTACTCACCTCTGGTCGATAGTCACCAATCCCTTCCCTCTTTTCTTTATCTTTCTTTTTCCCTTCTTCTTTTTTCAGCACAAGAAGAGGGAGGACACAGGTTGAGGAAGGAGACTAGAGGTGTCATGCAGTCTGAGAAGGGTCTTTGAACCTCCCTTTTGAATTATAGGAAAATAAATCTGAGTCACTCATGGCAGCCTGATCATAGTGGCTTCCAGACCTCAGCCCCTGGAATTCTTATGAGGAGAAAGCCTTTCAAATGTGGGATGTGAGTTTGAATCCCACCACAGCCACTTTCCTTTATGATATACTTGATTAGAATACAGGCTTTGGGGCCCAATAGACAGAGCTGTGAATAATGGGCCTTCCGTTTAAAAGCCTTGTGAACTTGGATGTCATATAGCATTTGTCTGTCTCAGTTTACTCATCTGTAACACAGAGACAGTAATCCTTATCTCACAGACTTTGAGTATTAAATGAGGTCACAAACAAAAAGAACTCACTGGTTCATAGTAAATTCCCAGTAAGTTGTAGTTATTATTAAATGATCATTTTTATTGTTTTGTAGTCTTTCACTAGCAAACAGGGAAGGAGTAAAAACTTAGAGGATAATTCCTGGCAGGCATCCTTACATTTTGGTGGCTGCAAATGATGGAATAGAACCCAAATTAGTTTAAGCAAAAAGAGAGTTAATTATGAATCCCAAGGTCACATGTGCAGCTGGACCTCAGGAAGAGTTGGAATCAGGAATTCAAATCCTGTGAGGGTTCTTCCTCTGACTCTAGTCTCTGCCCCTCCCTGAGCTTCTTGCTCTTTCCCTGCAGACCAGCCTCCTCTTCCTCTCTGGTCCACACAAAGGGAAACGTGGCCCTCATACCCTGAGCTGTGCATCTTACACCTTCGGCTGCCAGAGTGGGGACCTCTCAGTCCCAAGTTCTCTGGCCCTGCCAGGGGCAAGTGCCATCCTTAAAACAATTAGCCGTGGTCAAGGGCATCAGGTCAGGAAGCTGAATCCTGAGGATGGGAGGAGGAGGGGACAGCACTGGCAAAGGGGGTGCTGGGCCTATTGGGAACGTCACTCCTGTGGAGCCAGCGATTATCAGGGTTGTGTTTCCTTCCTTGAATCCCTTTTAGTTTTTTCCTGCAATTTCTAAGCATTTCTAATAATAACGAGCAGTTTTTACAGCAACACACAACAACATGGAAGAATCTTGGAAATATAATGTTTCCTGAAAAACGTAACTCCCGGAAGACTACACTGTAAATACGATACCATTTTCATAGAGCTCATACGCAAGCATAACTACACAAAGCATTGTTTAAACATTAGCTGTTTATGATTGCATGGTATTTTTAAAAAGACAATGGAATGATAAACACAAAATATCATATGGAGGTTACTTCTCAGGGGAGGCAGAGGAATGAGACAGGGAGGGTTACACTGGTACATACACATTACTGATAATAGTCCTGTTTCTCGGTTGGGTGATAGGTACACAGGTATTCATTATGTCATAAGCATTTATAACTAACGGATTTCATGTAATCCTACGAATGTATCAAATATTTTTTCAAAAGGCAATTTGAAACAGTTCAAGAAAAGAAATGTAATCTTAGTGATTACTGGTTCTGCAATGAAAGATATTTATATAGTCACAATATATAAGGTAAACACTGTTCATTGAGTTTCAGCTTTCAGAATTGAAAGATGGACAAAGTTCGGAAGACTTAATTATGGCTACAAAAGTAAACATAGCTGTTTTCAGCTTCAATGCTGCCCAGGCAAAAGCCTAGAAGAGGTCAACTGGAAGGTGGAAGGAGAAGAGAGCTAAAGGGAAGGGTGGCAGCACTCAATGAGTGACAGACGGGAGCTGGTGAATAAATTCCCTAGTGGCCTTGCCCTTAGGTTAGGATAATTCTGATTGTGTTCTACAGCAGGAGCTTGCAAATTTTTTTCCGTAAAGGTCCAGATAATAAATATTTCAGTCTTTGTGAGTCATACAGTCTCTATCACAACTACTCAAACTTGGCTATTATGGGGTGAAAGCAGTCGCAGACCACATGTAAATGAAGAGGAATGGCTGTTCCAAACACATTGTTTTATGGCTGACCCTGCTCCAGGCTTCCCCCATTGGATTAGCTCCAGTTGTCCATGGTAGTAACTGGTTTGATGCCCTTTATTGATTTTCTTCCCTTCCCTGTCTCACTTCCTTACACCTTTACTGGTGTGTCAAGGGGTCACCTTCCCAAGAACCACCTGAACTCAAATCTTTGTCTCGGGGGTCTGCTTCTGGAGGAACCCAAATGAAGGCAGGTGGGAACCATTACTATCATTGTTTTTCAGAAGAAGAAACTGAGACACAAAGAGGCTAAGAAATTTGCTCAGGGTCACAGAGCCAGCACTTGAATTCAGTCTCACTTGAGAATTCTGGGTATATTCAAAGTGTCCAGAAAATCAGCAGTGGTGAGAGGATTAGGGAGATCCCCCAGAATGAACGGAATTCCCCAAAGCAGTGGGGAGGAAAAAAAGACGTGGACTTGCTCCTTGCAGCAGTCAGGGAGGCAGCGAGCACCCGGAGAAGAATGATTATGGTGCCTCTAGGCAGATGAAAACTTGAGCAGCTTCCCAAAATGGTACCATGGCCTGAACATGACACAGAAGCAGAGAGCTACCAGATGTAAAGGGACCCCATGGACAGAGGCAATGGATATGTCAGTATAATCTGGAAGGACAGTTGACCAGGGCCCTGGGGGACATTCTGATACATCGTGTGCTCAAGCTCTACTAAGTGGGACTGGGGAGCAAGCTATGTTTTGTTTTTCACTATAACCATGGAACGAGGGTTCTAATGAAAAATAAATTGAATTATAAGAAATGAAGATTATGGGGGCCAGCCCGTGGCTCACTCGGGAGAGTGCGGTGCTGATAACACCAAGGCCACGGGGTTGGATCCCATATAGGGATGGCCGGTTCGCTCACTGAGTGAGCGTGATGCTGACAACACCAAGTCAAGGGTTAAGATCCCTTACCGGTCATCTTTTTGTAAAAAAAAAAAAGAAAGACAGAAAGAAAAGAAATGAAGATTAGGGGGGCCAGCCCGTGGCTCACTCGGGAGAGGGCGGGGCTGATAACACCCAGGCCACGGGGTTGGATCCCATATAGGGATGGCCGGTTCGCTCACTGAGTGAGCGTGATGCTGACAACACCAAGTCAAGGGTTAAGATCCCTTACCGGTCATCTTTTTGTAAAAAAAAAAAAGAAAAAGAAAGACAGAAAGAAAAGAAATGAAGATTAGGTAATGTCTTGCACATCTAAGTTTGTGGTTTGAGATGAGATCTTCTACAAAGGATAGAGAGGTTTCTTATGCAAAACATGAAGGGGATGCAGCCAGCCTCAGAAAGGAATCGGAACCAGGATGTGAACTCTCTTTCCATTTCTTGCCTATAATGTTTCTGTGTCTGTTTCATTCTTCTTTGCTACTCCTATATTTTTACATTCGTTCTGTTCCAAGAGTCCAGACTACAACTCACATTTCTTGGTTCCAATCCCAAATTCCCAGGGAAGAACACTGATTGACCCAGCACGGAGCAATTGTATATCCCTAGACCAATCAGCCATGCGCAGGGGTCAGGGCCTTGTAGCAGAATATGGCTTCTTGGAATCCATCCCTGGGTGGGATGGACAGTCTTCAGGAAGAGTTTGGCAGATTACCCAGTAAGTGTCCTATGGAGTGACAACTCCATGCAAGGGCACCATCCTTCAAGACTGAGCTCACATGCTGCCTTGGGTTGAATGTCCCCCTAAAACTTAATCCCCACTGTAACTGTTGAAGCTGGGAAATCCTATTAGAGTAATTGAAAGGTGGGGCCTTGAAGAGGTGATTAGATTGTAGGACCACTCGTAGTGAATGGATTAAAAATGATGGTCAGGGTCTGGTTTGGAGGGCTTTAAAAGGACAGCGAATGAGGGGATTAGTCTCTCTCTGCTCCACCATTTTTGCAGTGTGATACCCTGCTATCACTGTTACCACCACCAAGACATTCACCAGATGTGTTCCCTGGACTTTGGACTTCCCAGCCTCTGAAACTGTAAGCAATAAATTTCATTTTCTTCATAAATCACCCACTTTCAGGTATTTTGTTATAAGCAACAGAAATGGACTATTTCACATTCTATCTTCTGGATGAGGGTTTCCCTGTCCCAACCATTGAATTTACCTATCCCTACAATGGTCCCTACAACTCCCAAGCACATTCTGATCTATATTAATCTACATGTCTGTGCCCTATCATGTACCCTGTATCATGGACATTTATTTGTTTTATTTGACCAGCTCTTCTTCCTTCTTTTGGGAGCAGCTCCGCCCTTTGTAACGTGCATCTGATTTTCAATTTGGCTCCTCAACCATCTGAACTGTTGAGAGATTTCTCACTTAAAGAGTCCTAGTCC